AGAAATCCGAAGAGAAGAAAGAACAAAAAACGAAATTATCACGAAGCAATTTTTTTACTTCTTCCCTATTTACTGATTCACTCCTCCCAATGGTTTACCGCCTCATCGTGGCAGGGAGGTGTTCCTGGGGTCGGACTGCGGTGTACAGCGAACGCTTCATCCCCTGGCAGGGTCTCCCAAGCTGAGAAGGAGTCCGACGTTTCCATCAAGAAGCCTAGCCAAGAGTAAACCAATACCAGGATCCACCACCGTCCTGGTATCAAAGTCGCATGGTGACAAATCTCCCTCTGATCCACAAAGGCTGCGTCTGCCTGTGATGGTGAAGACCTGGGGCAGACTTTGGCCAGGCTGTCCTCGGCACTCCAGGATACTGTAATGGCTTAACCAGCAAATCTCCGAAAATGGTGATTGTGCTGGGGCCCGCACAACTAGTGAGAACGGGCGGCTCAATTATCAAGTAAGTAAGTATTGATTCGTTGAAGGAATTATTCCATTCAATGGCTATTTTTCATTACTTAGTAGTCTAACTTTACTTTTTTACTTTACTTTTTACTTATGTTTTAGTATTGAAGCTATTAGAAATAGCTTCTTAACACTTCTCAGAGGATTTCAGCTAATAGATAATTAATTGCCTGGTAACTTAAGAACCATATTCAATGACAGATCTGAGTTCTATTGTCTGCCGAGGAATCCAATAAGGAAATTCATCAGTGCCACAAAATGAAGGCGGATCGTTTTGTGGGTGGTCTGGAGTGGAAATCAAAACTACGGTGGTGAATCGCTTAACATCCGATTCCCATTATTGGCATCCTTCAATCATCAATTCTAAGGATATCATCGCATGTTCGCATGAGAATCTCCTCAAAGCGAAATGAATGAGAAAGCTGACTCGAATCCTTCCATTTCATTAAATTAGAAATTTGTGGCCCATTTAAAGCATTTTTCAAGCGATAACGAAAGAACCGACTTCATTCCTTAACAGTAATCGTTAATTGCCTTCGTACTTTCGTGGGATCTGAGAACAATAGAAAATTAGTGCAAGAACTGCTAAAGTACTACCTCCTAAAGTTATTACTTAATACCCTACTACGTAGAAGAAAACACGCCCTCATTTCCAAATCTTATTGTTGAATTTCATTTCTTCATTTTTTCTTTTCAAATTCTTCTCAAGAGGATATTTAAGTCAATACTGTAATCAACGCAATGAAAGAATGAACGACTGAGTGAAGGAATGGAATATTTCAATACTGTGTACAAATATACGCACATATAAGCAACAGCTGTGAGCCATATATTGCTCATATTGCTATTGATATGCTAAGCCGCAATGCTTAAATTCTATGTACTAGTTCAGTCCATTGATGCTGGTGAAGCTGGAAAGTTCAACCGTACAGAGAACAACAATAATGAGAGCGCTCAACCACAGGTGAGCAATTCATTCAGATTTTTAATAGTTTTCCCTAAATACCACACTATTATATGAGCTTCCTTTTCGCAACAGTGATGTTCTACAAACACCGAACATTAAAGGACAAAGCTCTCGGCGTTGATAAACCCCTGAGGAATGCAACATGCATTAGACTTCATTAAGCATCGCTTGGAGGTGACTGAATGCATATATGCCCTTTACAATGACTCGCCGTGGCCTACCGATGAATCGCATCAGTGCTGTTACCCTCCCAAACAAGTGTGGTGCCAATTTGCCGAACCCGGAGAGATGGAAAGCTTGGCGGGCTATAGGCGCGGGAATTGATCCCAAGTGTGTTTTGTAGGGTGCCTCCAACCACTTCGTCACAAGCACACTACAAGCATTTAACATGCAGCATTCTATATGAATTGACCTAAATACAAATGGTGAGGCAGTAATGGCTAGTTTCGATTTCACTCCAACATATTTCAGGAAATAATAAGCTTTATCAGTTGAAATGGATAGAATTTAGTCGGATTTATGGATCCTTTCTAAGAATACATGTGTTTTTTCATTCTACCAAGATGAAATTCCGACTTTCTGGAGTTCTTCCTTCGTTTTTTGTCCACGCTTGTAGTACGCGATAAGGCTTAATAAGAAGTGGCTTACACCTTATCGTCTTCCTTCTGTTTAAGAAAGATTTAATACATTGTAATGATTAATACGCGACATTCTTCATAGGTCATTGTCTCTCATTTTCGGGCTACTTTACAGTTATTCTTGGGGTATCATAGTTTTGGTACTAAGTTTGTAGACACAAATCTTATTCTTAAGAATTGCCTAAATTTTCTTTCATCAAACATTGCTCTCCACTCAGTTGGGTAACATATTAGCATAGAACGAAACATATTGAATGAATATTTTAAAAAATATTTAAAATGGATTCAAGAGGAAAGTTCGTGTCACATGATTTTGGCAATGTTACAGCCGTTAACCGGAGCAAAAGTTCGTGGCTGGCACTATTACGCATACCAGTCCATAATCGTAAAGTGGAACATCATGATTTGTTCACTATATTATTAAACCTCCTTTATTCGTAGACAAATTATCTCAACCTTTTCACTAGTTCCAGCTAAATAATAGGCAGGAAAGGGTTTGGCGTTCACCGTTCTCTTGATATTGCGTCAATTGTTTGGTTCAATTCCGATAGCCATTACAGATGTTTTGAATGCATATTGGGCCCATATATTCAATTGAGAGATGAGTAAGAGTAAGAGATAGATGTTCCAATGCATGTTTTTTATCCTAAAAGACAAATCTGGTTATAATATACAGGCACCAAAAGGATCAAACCAAAAACCATTTGTATATTGCATGAGACCTCTAACGATTGCGCTAAACGTGTTCCTCGTCAAAAAAAAATGAAGAGAAAGTCATGAAAAGGGATGAATGCACATAAGTGTTCGCATTTGAAATAAGGAACAAGAATTAGCTTAGCAATTCAAACTGTCAGTTTATCCAACATTCAAATTCGGTGAGCGTAGTTGAAATACCATCGAGTAATCTTAAGCGCCAGCTAGTTCGCAACCGCCTATATGACCGTCTATGTGCAACTCAAAATTGCATAATTTGCCCCAGTGGTAGAGACGGTGATTGCATGAGCTCGGGTATAGTTTATCTGATCTCCTGTAAGACCTGTGGTGACGAATACATTGGCGAAACGGGTAGACCCCTCTGTGTCCGCATGAAAGAACACCTAGCCGGCAAAAATAGACCAAATACCCCGCTAGGCACGCATAGGACCCAGAGACATAACGGGACGACTTCGAAGCATGTGTCACGATCCTCGCACGCGAATCAAGAACACAGGCGCGAAAAACTCTCGAGGCACTCTGGATTAATTCCAGAAATCCGAAAATGAACCGCAGGGAAGAATGCCTCATTATCACGCGTGATATAGGGCAGTATATAAAACTGCTTTTCTGATGTGAGGGGCACATTATACTTCCACGTGATTTCTGTGCGGTTGGTCTCTACGTGACATACTTAGTGGAAACCTCATAGAAAGCGGTGAGTGTGCAAAGCTGTGTTCAATGTGATTGAAATCTTGGTTTAGAGTT